CCCCCCCCCCCCCCCCCCCCCCCCCCCCCCCGAAAGAGTAAGCAAGCCGCCGTGCTGCGAACACCGTCCCGACTCCGTGCCTGTTGGCTACTGCTGTCGCGGTAGCCAGCCGTACCACACTGCGTGCGGCCGTGCAACCACACAGGTGCTCTCTCCACTCACGGCGGCGTCGACAAAGGAATACACGCGATTCATCCGAGGCGCTTCCAACCATCTCGCCCAGGAACCAGCACTCAGCACAGTAGTGGACTTCCTTCGAGTCAAAGCACTTCTCAAGAACAAACAAGATTGGGTGACTCTTTCGATCTCGTTCGGCTTCTTGAAAAAAAATCTCGACGCGGACCCCCCTCTCGTGCCTTCTTCCCAGAACGCGGGGCGACAACAGCTCATGGCCCTAACCACTTCGTTCCGGGTTCGAAACTGCAGTGGTTTCCAGCGTGTCGCAAGGGTACCCAGCGTACAGAAGCAGTGCGCGAGAGAGTGAGGCTAGTGGAGGAGGTCCCGAAACACGTAGAGGAACCAAGGGTAGCGACCAGTGTCCGAAGAGAATCAATCCCGTGCAGGAGGTGATAATGCAGGGAAGGGTGACTCCGAGCGCCGAAAAAAGGGGTTAAGACGATGAGAGACTGAGCGAGCACGAGCTCAACGATGAAGGAGATGCGTGCTTTTTTAAGGTGTGTGCGTGGAAATGAGAGAGCGGGTAGACACCCAAACACGAGAAGCAGAAACAATCACGACAGAAGATACAGCAGTATTTTGGCAAAACCATTTTTCGATCGCATATCATCTGTGTCAACACACCTGCCTGACGATCCTAGCGTCATCCTCCAAGTCCCCGCCCGCGTTGGCCCTGGGCACGCATGCTCGTCGTCTGTAGGCCTGACTCACAGCCGCACGTGGCCTGGTGGGCAAGCAGAAAAAGATAATATCACGCATGCTCGTCGTCTGTTAGGCCTGGCTCACAGCCGCACGTGGTCTCGCGGGCAAGCAGAAAAAGATAATATCACAACCGGGGTCTCAAGACTAAATAACCTTCATGGTTGGTTCGACCAAAATGAGCTCTCATCATTACTGTTACCAGTGCCGGTCCCTCATCGAAGACCGATCACTCTCGCCGGTGTTGCCTCGTACGGAGGAGATGTTCGCTACTGTCTAACACGCTTGGGTATCAATGCCGAGATGTGGTGTTGTCAATGCCGAGATGTGGTGTGACGGTTGGCTCGACGGCTCGCGGTGCAACATGTCGAAATTCTCTACCGTTGGCAAGACTGCTTGAAGGAAGGTATGTACTGCTGTATTACCACCACCCACGTCGAAATTTCTTGTTAGGAGAGGCCCATGCACAAACTTGGCTCATGCCGCACGGTCTCGGAAATTGCGGTGCAAGTGGCGAGGTGCTCCCGAGAAATGGCGTCGAAGTCGAACGTGTTCACCACCGAGTTTGACGGAAGGCCACAACAGCATACAGCATAGACCACTGCTGTACATGTGTTGTACTCATGTCATGTATAACATGAACTCAATAATTAGACAAAAAATGGTCTATGAGCAGTAACGTGTGTGGTGTGGGCGACAATCAAGCATGAGGTTTCCAGAAAGCCCTCAAGCAGCTGTTGGAGGTGCATCGCCCAACGGCCAAACCTCCTCAAATGCACGCATCAGCATATTAGATCAGCAATGAGCACAACATACATGATGACATGACATGAGCGCAGAGTTCTGCGAACGAAATCAATTTCAAACCTGAATGTTTCGGTAACATTGCGGCAAACATAGACGGGCACAGAGCAACTAGACTTCTGCGTACGACAGTAAGCGAGCCTGCGGTGTGGCCACGAAGATGTTTGCACTTGTATCATGCGAGGCCATACATACCTCCGCAGCGGCGTTTTCATGTTCGTTCGCAAGGCCAGCAGTCTGCCTGAATTGGACACACCCCCGTGCAAAGGAAAAGCTCCGATCGTATCCGTCGCGAGTATGAAAGCAACCAAGACCAGCGCGGGCACCGTCGCCATCGTTTCTCTACTGTCTAAGGAGTAAGGAGCGAGTCTGTTTTTGTGGCGGCGGGTTGTCGTTGGCTCGATTCAAACCATGAGAGGCTGCTGAAGGTTTCCGCATACCCAAGCTACCTGTACCTCAGGACACTTGATTTGAGAACGGTGGGGGGTCCGTAGATGAAAAAATGAACGCTCTGGAATAGTCAGCAGCAGTAAATGTACCGCTGTATAGACTAGTGCGATACTCTGACGAAACACGATGGCCCCGCTCTGTTGCACTCTCGGTGGCAGCAGACAGGCTGACGTTTTATGGCGTTTGTCTCCACCACCTCATCCATCCGCCGATTGATTTTTTGTCAACGAGTATTTTTGTCTTCGTTCGTGTCTGCGAGAGGCGACGAAAAAAGGTGTCGTCGATGGAGCCAGCAGGAGTGAGTGCCTTAAACTATTACAAGTATATGATAGATTTGGTTGCCAATGGTGCTGTCTTCTAGTCTACAGCAAAAAAAACAGTTCCGATCTCTGCTTGGCACCTTCTAATCGTCTGTACCGGTCCAACTGGCGCAGACGTCGTACGTGGTTAGACTACAGACGAAGTACGTACCCCAACGAGCGTGCAATATTGTAGTACACCATGAAATGAAGAAAGGAATCGCAGGAAACCAACGACATGATGAATGAATATGGTACGCCTCGGTACTACAGTAGTACGCGTGTCGCACAACGATGGTGATACTTCTAGAGGATGTCGAGCGTATGGTGGGGGCGGAAGTGACTCTGGAGACTTGTCCAAATATTGTACCTAACGGTACTGGACCAGTACCGCATGATGACCAAGAACATGACAAACACCGCGCATGGCTTCTTCTTTCGATCACCAATGAAAAGCGCACACAAAGGAAACGAACGGCAATCACCGCCAACCACCCAGTCGCGTCATGAGCGGATATAAATGTTTGTCGAACGATCCCTCCCTGCTGGATTCTTCCGACAAAACAGAATGCATCGACCGGCAGTAGCGCCGTCAACGCCGGAGCAACCGGTAAAAAAGATGGCTCAGTTTCACCCCTGGTTGGTTGGTGCATTTTCCGGCCACAACGAAGTCGGCCTTCAAGTTTTATTAAGCACACCCCATGCAAATGTATTTACAAACGAGTTAAAAAAACGAACAGGTAGACTACAATACATACACCCAAACGCGGTGTCTACAAAAACCACTTCGCATCACCGAAACAAAACAAAACATAAAACACTCAACCACAGCTTTTCTACACAGATGCATACCACGCTCCTACTATCTTGGGGCAAGCGGGGTACAATCACAGAGAAGAGAGACCACCAACATGTTTCGCTCGTAGTCATGACACAATCTACATTTCGAAAGACTCCTGCTCACGGGTAGTCTACATTACAGGAGGGTGGACGGAAAAAAAAAACACACCCCAATGAGGCATGCGGGGTATACGATCACGATCTGCACCCAGCTAACAACAAGCTGCTGATGGAATGGTAGTTCTACACGGCTTGGGAAACGTTGGATGACACCTTCACGGAGAGAGTGTCCGATATGCCAGTGTAGCTAGCGCGCACGAATCGCTTCCACTCCACCAAAAAAACGAACTCCCGCCCAAACTCACCCCCTTCGCTCCCTTCAAAAACCAGTCGCATGAACATTCCGAAACATCAAGTTCCTACAAAACATGGTGTGAAATGTTCCACAGAAATGCCTGGAAAAAAACTACACACGGCGAAACATATTGTCTGCTAATGGGTGGTTGAAGGGTACAGAGAAGCTCCTCCCGATATTTTTTCACCCCGAGCCTCGAAGGCTTCCCCCTCCGCCCCCCCCCTGCATCCTGGAAGGCGGTGGATGCACGTCGCCCCCGGGGGCGCCGTGGACACCAACGGAGACGCTCGGGGCACTCCGATTTGCTTGCCCTGGGTCCTGCTGCAGGCTTGCCGCGTACTCTTCTACGGCCTGCGGTTTTGGGACAACCAAGCATGCGTTTCGGGGGAGAACGCGAGTGACGATTTGTCGTTTTGTGATGCCATTTGATGCCCGCGGGGGGGGGGGGGGGGGGG